ACACGTTCCTAAGGCCAACTTCATCTTCAACCTCACGTCCAGCCAGAAGCTCTTTAACTTGTTTAAATCTCAACAAAAATGAAAACTGTAAACATGAAACTTGTAGCAAATTTCCTCACAGTTTCAGAAATGTAAAGCATTAAAACTATAGCTCAAAGATAAACATGAATTTTAATGGCCCTATTCTGAACCCTAAAAATCTCAGAAAATTTAATCTTAAAATTCTCTAAGCTCAGAAAAAATTAATGGAAACTATGGACATGGTTAGCTTTAGGGCAATGATATCTACATGTTTCATTCACAAATAAATCATTGATGATGCCTGTATGAAAAGTTCCAAAGTTAGAAAGCTTACCTTGCAAGAGGGTATCAGGTTTGAATTTTGAGAAGCTTTCAAGGAGTTCCAATGGTTGGATTAGCTTCCTCGAGTTCCCAGGAAGCTAATGGAATGCTTAGCTTGAGCTGAAAGTACCTGAGGAGTTCTGGAGAAGTCCAAGTGCAAAGCTCTATTTTTAAAAATGGAGGATGGTATTAATGGTGTTACAATTTTGTAACAGAGTGTGGGATCAGTTCTAAATGATGTTCAGAAGCTTTAGAAACCAAAAGGCATGAAAACGCACGAGGGAGTTATGAGTTTCAAGTTTTTGGTCAGTTTATGTGAAAATGGAGGTATGAGATGTGATTCTGAGCTCTAGGTGTTTTTAGGGCTTAAGCATTCGTGTCTTCTGTGGCAAATGGTTTGTATATCTATAAGCAAAAGGATTAGAGTGGTTTGGACAATCAGAAGTACAAGTTTTTAGTTAATTGTTAGGTTACTTGATTTTGAAGAAAAGTGAGAAACCAAGTTTTAAGGGGAGGTACAAGCATGGGCTGAGTGATTGTAAGTGTCTAACAAGTTTTTTATGAGTTATAGGACTTGTATGATCATAAGAGAACAAGTGCAAGGCTCAAGAACAATTTTTATGTAAAAAAACACTTTATCAAAATGGCAATGTACACTTTCTTCCAAAAATGGATATAAAGCATGACCTTGTATTGAATGCTTGAAATGAGACCTCTAACAGCTGTCCAAGCCATTAATTATGGAATGCCTAACAACTTTAAGGCCTACAAAGTAGAGCTTATGCAGCATAACTTTGAATTTGAATTTTGTTCATCACAAAATGCCTTGTAAATCAAGTGATAAAACCCTAACTTCATCTCTTTGATTCTCTCTACTCAAAAATGATCTCAAGGAGTTCTTAGATATTTTGGAAAGCTTGCAATATGCTCTACAACCCATCTTTGAATTTATTTTGAAGATTCCCCTTAGAAATATATGAAAAAGTGCCATGAAGTTGGGTCAAAATCCTGATCAAATTAGGGCAAAATTTCACTAAGTGTTTTGTTTCATGACCACATGTTCTTAAAATTATAACTTGAGATCCAAGCACTTTTGGAAGAAGTTGTGTAAATCAAAGTTGTATATTTCATGGAGATATACAACTTTCATGTTGGAAATTTCTCTTGAATCATCTTGCATCATGGTGAAAATTTTGCTCAAAGTTGTGAAAAAATAAGAAATTTCCAACACTTAGAAAAATTTCTAAGTGTAGAAATTTTTACTTTTCAAAATGAAATTTTGAAATTTGGATTTCTTGATGAATAAGTTTCCTATTTTGACATGTTTTGATGAATTGTGATCTTTGGAATTTGATTTTGACCAAAAAGTCAAAGTTTAACTTTTCAGTATACAGTTGACTTTTGATCAGTTGACTGAAAAATTCATCTGTCAATCCATTTGACTTGCAATGTTTTGAGTCATGTCATTAGGTCAAAATGATGCAATTAGAATCTTGAGATCATGCCTTAAACCAATTGATCATTTGCTAGGTCAAAAAAATCAGAAATTGCACTTTCCCAGTCAAAACCTTAATTTTGACCATTTTGCCCTTTTTGAGATTTGATCAAATTTTTTGAGTTGTGGTCCAAACTTGATCAAATGAAACATATGAGTTTAAATTGTTGATGTGGATAAAAAATTATAAAGTTTAATTGTAAATTGGCCACAGTTGACTTTTTTCCCAATATAGTTGATTTTTAGGTCAACTGCTAAATTGACTGAGCAAAAGTGTGATCCAAGGTTTGAAACTTGACATGAGTGATCTTGGGGGTCCATAATGATCCATGAAAGTCATATGAAGCATTGAAAGTTCAAATATCCTTGTGCAATCTCAAACCCTAATTTTAGTCATCAGTGCTTAAGGAGGTGTCTTGAGTTGATCAATCCTACTGCACTATTGAGCCAAAGGAGATTTTGTGAGCAAATTCTTGATAAGTGAGAGGAAAAATTTTGGAGTACAACAATATTGTACTCTTTTTTATTAACTAGATTTTTTCTCACTGAATTTTTACTAGTAAAGTTTTAACGAGACATATCTTGAACAAAAATCAAGGGGGGCTATTGAATAATGGATGATTGCATTCCTATAATTTTCTTTCTTATTTGTAATAATATGTATTAACTAGTAATGAGGTAGTTTTTTTTTATTTATAAATTTTATAATAAATCAATTCAAGAATAATTTTTACTATTTTTTAATAAATTTTAATAAAACTCATTTTTTTTTAAAAAGTAAAATCACTTTTTTTTCAAAAGTTGAATCAAGCGATTTGTTGTCTTTCATTTGTCATTTGACTCTATTAATACAAAAATAAAAAGATCCATGTCATGCCAAGTGTAAAAGGACATATCAAAAGATAGAAAGAAAATAGCAAGAAAATAAACTTACAATGAGAACATAATTAAAAAAGAAGCAAAACAAAAAGTATATTACAAAGTGCACTTTGCTTTAGTGGAGCAAAAGGGTGTAAAAGTAAGTGGAGCAAAAGGGTGTAAAAGTAAGTCTAGCTTTTTTGGTAATGGAATGGACTATGGAAGTATGAATATGAAACGAGGTAATGGAAGGCTATTGTGGTCATTCTGTTATTTATGAAGGATTTTGAGTTGGTGAACATAATCTTTTTTAATTTGTGGAATTGGTGACACCAAAATATAGCTAGATTGCCATAAAGAAGTTTAATTGCATCTTTGACAAAAATTGGAGCCACCGAATCCATTAAATGTGTAATGAATGAAGAAAACAAAAGTTGAACGCGCCTTATCGTTATGAACGTTAAATAAAATTAACAATAATATAATTCATTTATCCACTAACTATTAACCAAAATAACCCACTTCCTAAATATATAATTTCCTAAATTTATTTTGAAAATAATTAATAATAATAAAATTCATTTACCCACTAATTATTAACCCAAATATCTCACTATCCACTTTCTAATTTTAAAATTTCCTAAATTTATTTTTATTAATAATTAATAATGAATATATTAATTATTAACTCTATTGTTTAAAACTTCCCACTAACTCACACCATGGTGCTTTAAATTATTATTAAATTGCAAATTTAAAAAAAAATAGCCACGTACCATTTTTATAAATTCCACATAAATAGGACACCCAAAGAGAACTTCATTGCTTTTTTTCAATTTCTTTTACAAATTAATTAAATAACTTTTCTCTTATTTTATTAAATGATTTATTATTAACTAAATATCATAGTATCTATCCACTTTCTTTTTATTTAACTATAAATTAATTTAATTAACTAATTAAAATAAAATAAATTTAATAGATTTAATAAAGTAAGCAAGCTCAAATTTCTATCTCCAATTTCTCTTCCCATAATTTCTATCTCCAATTTCTTTTCTTTTATTGAATTCTTTCTATTTTTCTACTGTTATTTTTTTATTCTGTGTGTGTCCATATATTAGCATGCCATGATTTTTTTGCACGTATTATTATTATATACTTTTTGTTTTTGTTGTTTGTTTCTATTTTTCATACTTTTATTTTCTTTATATTTTTGCGTGTCCATATATTAGCCTGCCATGAACTTTTTGCATGTATTATTATTATATTTTTGTTTTGTTTTATTGTTTGTATTTTACATACTTTTATTTTCTTTATAGATTTTTGTGTGTCCATATATTAGCATGCCATGAATTTTTGGTATGTGTAGCTATAAGCATGTCATGGATGGAAAATTGCACATTAAATTAAGACATTTTTCGTTTATATCTCTAAAATTTTCTATTTTACTAATTAATTATATTGTTATTTTTTATTTATTTCACATCTTACGAGTTGAATCAAGTAACTCAAAATAAGTTATCATTTAACTCATCTTTCTTCTACCAACAATCATCTCTAACTCTCTAAATTAATATAATTTTAGACAATTTATTAATAATAATTAAAAAATATTTTAATATACATAATGATAATTTAATAGTACATGTCTACATCGCACGGGTAGACGGCTAATTTATTTTTTAAATCCTTGTAACTTCTTGGACTACATTTACATAAATGAAAATTTATGCTAATGTTAAAATTTAAAAATAATAATAATTTTCTCTTCCCTTCAAATCTTTCAAGTTGTATGAAATTAAAATGGAGTTCTTCCCTTCATATTATATTCATTTATACAATTATAAATTTACCTAATTATTCATATTAACTATTAACATATTTTATTGTCAAAAATACAAACTGAAGAATAGCAATGTTTATAGTTCTAATTAGGATATACAATTAAAATAAATCAAATTCATGATGTATTGGAATTTTGGAAATTAAAAGTGAGGATTTTTTAGACTATTTTTTTTGTTTGCATAGGACAATTATTAAGTGAGAGAAGTACTATAAGAAGTTTTATCCTAAACAACTACTTTTTCAAACATGTTATGAATAACCATCTATTCCAATGGGCTCCTCCAAATAAAAGTCTATCAATATTAATGTAGGTTCAGAAATCATGGTATCATCTTTAATTCCTCTATTCTCACAGCTGATTATGCCATTGTAACATTGACACTTGACAAACTCATATATGTAGTACTAATTTTACATCCAAACTATTTTCATGTTTTACAGTATTTGATAGGAAATCAAATCACCATGAAAAGGGGTTACCTCCTAGCAAAAATATTTCGTTTTCAACATCCTTTATCCATTGACATACCCTGTTGCATGTCTTTATTGCCTTGGCCTGCATAAGATCATTGTGCAGAAAAAGTATTAAAAAAAATCCAAGCAGTAAATGTGCGATTGATTGGATATTAACTGATGGAGCATTTACAATTTGATGCAGAAATATAATTACTGAGAAATCTTGTAGGCAGTAAAAAAGATACCTTGTCTGCAAGGGGATCAAATGCAGCATAGAGTTCGAAGTCCTGCGTTACCCAACAGAGCAGAACTGCCACATGAAAATGATATTACTAGTCTGATCACTGTTAAATGAAGCACGCAAATGCAATGACACTTTATATCTCAAAGAAACTAAGAGCAACTTTAGCACAAGTGATATGAGAAAGAGATTCTTTATAGTTCACGTTATATATAGTTCCCCAGCTTTGTACAAAGCTTACATGGCAGTAACTATAGTTCACTGTTCACTATGTAAAACACCGCAACTAATTATTTCACAGTATTAAAAGTTATATTTTAATCAATGAAACTTAATGACAGAATAATTAATATATGAAATATTAATTCAACAGTAATATTAACAATGGCTATTTTTTGTTATAAATATTTACAATCTTACAATAACGATGCTCTTAGGGGCTGTTTGTTTCAAGTCTACAAATATATTTCTGGGAATACATAGTTGGGAAATAGTTATTCCCATTTTTGTTACAAGTTTGAAAATAAATTATTCTTTGGAATAAAAGTTCCTTGGAATCAAATAACCTCTCTCTAACTTCCATAATTCTCATGGTTTTATTCCCATGAAAAGAATGTGGGAATACTCATTCCCATGAAATTTCACATGGTTTTTTTGAAAAAAAATATAATTCATTTTCCAAAGAACATCAAATTATATGCCAAACAAATATTTAGAAAAATATCCAGAAATTAAATCTTCATATTTGTTTAATTTTCAGATCTCTTGGGAGGTCAACATTAGGGAGATTTTTTTTACATTGGAACCTTTTTCTCGAACTCACTTGTTTTTCTTAACACTCCCCCTCAAGTGTGAGACTATCAACAACACTCGCCTCAAGTGGAAGCTCTTTCATCTACATACACTTTGTATCACCGTTGACACTTTTTCCATGGGACATGCCTTCTACCTACCACCACGTGGGGAGCACTTTCGATACAAGTGAATCGGTCCTTCACTCTAACCAGACTCTACGATTGTTGGATCATCAACATGGGGAACATTTTTTATGTTAGGGCCTTTCTTTATGAACAACACACCTTGGAAGAGATACACCACATACTCACCCAAAACCTTAAGGTGATAGGTGTGTGGGTTCTCTCACTTCTAAAATATTCAATTTCTACTTTTTCTAATCAATGTGAAACTTTCCGACACTTGTTTCTCAACACTTCCAACTCACTGGTTTTTCACAACATGATCAGTGTTGATTCTTTACATCACAAAAAAAAAGTACGAATTTCCCCGTCTTTTATTGCACCTTGTGAAAAACAAGGGGCCAACTTTTCTAAGGAATCACTCATTCAGAAACATCAAGAATTAAAGTAGAGACCAAATACCGAGTGAAACATTTGATCCACACTCATTCCTCATAAGAACAAAAAGAACAGAGAATTCAAGAACAGAGAGAATTGCATCAACTCGTAAAAATACACTCGTAATATCATACATCCATTTATATAATACTACAAACTATTAAAATATGAATTACCATAGTTTTCATCCCTTTTAAACTGAGTTTTGTGTGGCCCAATTCCTTTATCATGCATGGATGCAAAAAGTTTCTGGTACGCTCTAAGCAATCTGAAACAATTAAAACAGGTCATGCTTAAACAAAGAACAAAAATGCACAAAAAAGAAAAGATAAGTACCATACCAGCATAAAAAACAAGTTTCTATAAAATTACTACCTTTTCTGCTGCTGAGGAGTGTTAATAGGTGGTGAGAACTCTGAAGATACATACTGATCCAGATATATGCTGCGATATATGAAATGCCACAAACCAGCAGCAGCACCAACACCAGAATTAGATTCTCTCAATCTTTCAGGAGAATCTGGTTGAAGCCTATGCTGGCCCAAATGAGGAGATGATCCAGAATGAGATAAGGGTGGCAGATCATCAACATGCATTCCTCCATCAAGCAAGGATCTCTGAACTTCAACAAGGACATTTGACCTCAAAAGGACCGATTCAATACGAATCCTATGAATTACCAGGCAAATTTTTTAACCATGCATGAAAAATATGGTACATAGAGAACCAAATCTTAGCGAAACATTATGCTCTTTCCTTTTTGATTTTCTTTTATTTTTTAATAAATAATGAACAGAACAACAGCAGTGGTTATACTATCAAATTATTCTTTACCTGCAATCCTTAAGATGGTAAAATGCATCAGAATTATTTGTCAGCAACATCAAGTATGTGTCATCCTGCCACGGTTATATAAAAAACTATCATTTATGAACTTAATGTTATAGCATATACAAAAATTGTTGATGCACTTGTCACTCACGTCAAAATAATGGATATAAGCATACAAAAATGCTAAAGGATTGTATCTTGGCAAGCAAACAGGGGAAAATGCCTCTGAGGTCCTGCATGATTATAGTCCATGAAGAGAATGAGAAAGTGAAAAAAGGTATGAGAAAGCCAGTAAATCTACTTGCAACTGCTCATAGGATCCGTTAGTTCTCTTGTTTTAAGATTGACTTAATTTTTGTAAAACAAATAATAGCAGCAATAATGTAATTTAGAATAGGATGTATAAACTTGTTAAGAAAAACAGGTACAACAGAAATCTTATTACAATGTCAGAACATGTTGTGTTGAATTTTTTCAACAACTGGAACATGTCAAAGAAGATGTCTTCTACATCGCGCCTGCTGAGCTGGATTAATGAGATTCAGTTTATTCTTAACAGAGGCAGAATATTCAGGAGAATATATGCATCCTATGTGGCGCATATTTAAAGGTCTAGAAAATTCAATCAGAAATCAAGGAGATTGAAGACCTTTCTTGGAGCAGAAGTTTCTGCAGTTTGTTACAGCTGATTTGCTGTAATTGAAGGTCCAAAACCAGTTGGGTAACAGGTTAAAATTAGAAGGGTTTGTAATCTAGAAAAGACATGTAGAAGTCTAGAGTTTTATTAAGGTAAACCTCTCGGGTTGTGGGAAGGTTACCATGTTCACCTCGAAGCTTCTTGGAGGAAGCTTTGAAGCAACTCCAGGATGTGTTAGGAGCAAAGCTAACAAACAGTGGAGTTTGGCTTGGAGACTTAGCTGGATTGTCCTGGAAGTGTGTCTTCCAAACTGTCTATCTGTGTGATCAGAATCTTGGTGAAAGGCCGTCGATGCAGTGACTGAGGTGTTGACTGCTAGACATCATTGCGATAATTGGAAGTGGGATGGGGATATTCCATATCTAGGGAGGACCTAGGTAGAAGGGTTATTGGGTAGTGATTAAGTGCGTAGATCGTCAACGGGTGTGTTGGTTGTAGGGTCTGCAAATTGATACTGCTGATAGTGGACTTCATTCCTGGCTTGGTAGCGCTCAGATTAGGTGTTGTTGTACACCGAACTGGGTAAACAATTCTGGTGTGTTCTTTATCTTTTCAGTACTGTTTTATCTTGCCTGCGTGTTTGTGTCAAATCAGATATCTCGACACCCTTATAGGACATCTGAGTCTGTTGTACCAGAATTTCAATTGGTATCAGAGCAGGCATCCTGTTCTGTTCTGGGTGAGATCCTGGGAAGGTACTTTCTGGTCATGGGCAAGGAAGAAAGTATTTACTGAAAAGAGGTATGAACTTGGACAATTCATACTATTGTACGGATGATCTCGTGGCAAGGATCATTGGTTATCTGTGACAGGTATTGTTCCTGTCTGTTGCCTTCAGACCTGTAGCTTGGTGGGAAGTTGTTGCACGTAGGATTGATTTATTTTCAATCCTAAGTTTTCATGCTTATACTTGGATAGTGGTGTAAGCATTCTGTCTGAATATTGTTGAGGAATTTTTTTTGTATTCCGCTGTATGGTATCTGATATAACCCTAAAAGTATGGGAAGGATACTAGGGTTGTTACCCTCAACAGAATATATGCTGACATTTTCAACAGTATTAAAAGTGTCAAAGATACTTGAGATCTCCTCAAGTCCACTCATAAAGACATTTATCAATAAAGTTGATGAGAATCAATTGATCAATGATGCTCATATACATTTGCATATTGACCTTGAATACTGTCAAGGATGGTGTGTTCCAAGAAGAAGGAACTGATGTTCTATGGAATGTTAGAACATTATTTCAACAGGTATGCAACTACCAGTTGAAGAACAGATGCCTTGGGTGCTGAACAAAAATGTTATGAATACTTGTTATTTGGAACCTACTCCTGATCTGGAAGAGGAGGCATCTGATTTGTGCAGGTTGATCAGGACACGATCAACAATTTATCTACTCCATGTGTCAGTTTATTTCTGACCAAGGCTTATGGGAGTATAGAGGTTGAGCTCCATGTTCTTGAGAAGAACTCATAAAGGAATCTCCACCAGACCCTTTATGTATATGAGATGATCTCGTATCTGGAAGATTCTTCCGATCAAAGGAGCCAGATTCATGGAATCCTGTTTGTGGCCATAGAACAGATTATGTTTGAAGAGGAGTATTGTGATCCAACCACAGTGTTTGATGCTCCTGAGTATTGTTCTGATTTCCCTTGAGGAAGAGAATTTGTGATTCTCTTTGTGTACCCTCAGAAGTTGTTGAAGAAGATTCCCTTGTCAAGGGTTGATATGATGTCAGACAGAATGTCGTGACATCTTTGAAGATGTTAAAATTTGAAGGGCATTGTTTTTTAAGAATCAAGGGAAACAGGCTTCTTTGAAAAGTCTGTATAGATACCTAATAGAGGGAATCTCTTCTGTAGGTACAGACAATGGTATCCATCATCTCAAAGTCAGACAGGAGGTCTGAAGAAAAGCTTATTGAGATGTGGCTCGTGCAATCATATGTTGGTAGTCTGATCCTGAAGATTGATCAGTTGTTGTTGATATGTTTCCTTGTGTTTCCCCACAAGAGTTGAGTATGAGTTACTATGGATGTTTCCCCCAGAACCATAGTAACAATGGATGATGTCGTAGCAGATGTTGGAACAGCATCTCAGTTTCTTCAGCAATAAAAGTGACATTTGCTCAAGGATACACTCAAATTGAAGGAGTTGTTTTTGATGAAACCTTTGGCTAGACTTGAATCAATTAGACTACTCTTAGGAGTTGCTTGTATTCTGAGGTTTAAGCTGTTTCAAATGGATGTAAAGAGTGTCTTCCTAAATAGCTATTTGAATGAGGAAGTCTATGTGGAACAACCTAAGGGATTTATTGATCCAAGTTCTTTTTCTAACCATGTGTACAAATTGAAGAAAGCTCTGTATGGATTAAAACAAGCTCCAAGAGCTTGGTATGAGAGATTGACAGAATTTCTTGGTAAGAATGGATATAGGAAAGGTGGTATAGACAAAACTCCTTTTGTTAAGGAAGAAGAAGGGAAGATCATGATTGCACAAATTTATATTGATGATATTGTGGTTGGTGGGATGTCAAATGAGATGGTTCAACATTTTGTCAAGCAAATGCAGTCAGAATTTGAGATGAGCTCTGTTGGTGAGTTAATTTACCTTCTTGGTATGCAAGTTAAACAAATGGAAGACTCCATATTCCTATCTCAGAGCAAATATGCTAAGAATATAGTAAAGAAATTTGGGATGGAAAATGTCAGTCACAAGAGAACACCTGCTCTTACACATCTGAAATTGTCTAAAGATGAAAAAGGGGTATATGCTAGATATCAAGCTGATCTCAAAGTTAGCCATGCCAACCATGTGAAGAGAATACTAAAGTATGTGAATGAGACAAGTGACTATGGTAAGTTGTATTCTCATGGATCTAACTCTGCATTAAGTGGATATTGCGATGCTGATTGGGCAGGAAAGTGTTGATGATAGAAAAAGTACATCAGGAGGATGTTTCTTTCTGGGGAGTCATCTCATGATTCAGTAAGAAGCAAAATTGTGTGTTCTCCAAAGTTGAGTTTAAGGTCAAGCCACTGACCTAATCTGAAATGTTTTGGCTGCCATGATTGGATATCATGTCAAAGATTCAGAAAGTATCACAGATATGAAGAAGAAGGATGTCAGATTAAAGTCCTACCTAGTGTGAGAAGGTAATTTTATCTGACTAACTGATAAGTACTTTGACGGGAGACTAAGTATTTATTAGGATTATACATGAAAGTTGACTACAAATACCTTGATGGGAGCTGAGTGTTTGTCTGATGATTGAGTGCAAATCTGATTTCTGAACATGTCTTTCAGAAAATATTTGAGAGTTCATGTCTCTTAAATTATGTTCTGATTTGTGGTAGATACTGAAGATGAGATCTATTGGAATCCTATTGTGTAGATTGGGAGGTTTGTAAAGGGAATGTATGGAAATAAGTCCCTTGGATGGTGATTCTAGAACGAAAGCTGATAGGTTCTGTAGTAAAGTTGTTAATGTCTCAAATGATGTTGTAACATCATTGTTGATGATACTCTGTGGAAGAGACTTGGGACTGTGAATCTTAAATATTCTACCACCTCATTCAGAAGTGGCAGTTCTATCCTTGGTTTAGAATAAGAAGATTTTGAGTTTGTTTAGAGAAGTATGCTCAAGTAATGCATAACTATTATCTTGGTTTGAAGACTTTACTAGTGTCAGCAAATACTAGTAATGTGCAGAAGGAGGATTTAATCAACACATTCGTTAAGGGGTATTCCTTATGTTGGAGAGTCTGAATCTTAGTAAAGCTTTTAAGCACACTAAGAAATGGTTGGATGTTGGTTTCAGACTATGGTTGCATGACATCTTAGTCATCAAAAAAGTCATGAAAATATGTGTGGAGGTGCAAGGGCATGAATCAGAGGTGTCCTTGTTATGTGACTAGTTCAGGGTACTTGGAGTTATTCTCAGTAAACTAGTGGGTGTTTAGTGTTGTATTTTCTCCATAATGAAGTTTTTGATTGTCCATGACAGGAGGAGTCAATGGACTAATTGGTTTGTTTGGAGCTTGTGATGTTCAAGCGTATAGAGTTATTGTCCTCCTATGAGGATGATGTTGGATAACATGCTGAGACATGTTGCTACAAGATGTAGCTGTTTATATCCTTATGAGTCTCTGAAGACTCTAGCCAGATGTTGCTAGAGTATATCATCCTTCTCCAAGAGGATGTGTTGGTTCTGCGAGAATTTATTTTTCTCTGCAGTAGTGAATGGGATAAAGAAGACTATCCTGGTTGTTAGGAGATGTCACATCCTCTGCCAAGAGTATCAAGAAGAAGACTATGTATGGTCCCCCAAAGCCCTAGAGTAAAGCGGTTCCTCCCTCCAACAAAAGAAAAGTTAGACCTGATAGCTCCTCAGATGATGATGAGGATGATGTCCAGGACATCTCTCCTTTGAAAAAGTCTCTGCAAGCAAGAAGCTTTCTGTCAGGGTGCTTGATGCTCCTCTTGACAACATTTCTTTCCATTCAGTTGGCAATGCTGAAAAATGGAAATAT